TCCCCGCCACCCGAACCCGGGCCCGCCGGGCTCTGACTCACGGCCGCGGGAAAGGAACACCCGCGTTTGGGACTGGCGTAAAGCTCAGCGCTCTGGAGATGGGGGACTTTGGGGGATGGGGCTTGGGAGTTGAAGTCGTTTGGCTAGGTCTTTTTTTTTTTTTTTGCTTCCCCCTTTTTTAATGTAAAGGACATCTCTGAGTTGGCCGCGGACAAGCCCACTTCAATACGAGTGGCGCTGCGACCCTCCCGGCTCACGTGTGCGGCACCCGGGCCAAGCTTGCACTCCTCCCAGCCCAGCCTGCAGCCTGCGCGCCGCGGCCGTCTGTCACATGCCCTCCACTCGCACCCGGGCACGCGGCCGGTTCCCACCCCTGGGCCCGCCCGGGCGGCCGCGGGCGCCCACCCCGGGCCCTGCTCTGCGGGTGCAGTGAGCGCGCTGGAGTTTCAGCCGCACAGCCCACCGGCGTCTGAGCAGCCTGCCCCTGAGGCGCTCGGGAAACCTCATGTTTGCTTGCTGGGGTCTAAAAGGTTAAGACACTTATGCGGCACACCAGTTGGTCTCCGTGCTTCGGGTAGTTTGAAGATTCTCTTTAGGGAATAAAAGTCATCGTGTTCATTTTCGGCACTCCCCCCAAAAAAGGTTTAAAGGAGAAGATAAGTGCTGTCTTTGTAAGGACTGACGATTGGGGGATTTTAGGGGGCTTTTGGGGTTACTTCCGTTTATAGACTAGTAGCATTGGGGACTTTTTTTTTTTTAATTCTCTGTACCCATTGATTTATTTTTCTTTTAATCTTATAGGCGTTTGAGACCTGCTGACTGGGTTTGTGTTCTTCAGCAGTTCAAACATAGCTGGGAAAGCATTTTTTTCGTACTGAAATGAGTCATAATTTTATTAAATGGAGAAACGTGAAGTTTCAAAGACTTTATCTAGGTTTCTTAAAAATGGTTCTATAGTCACAATCTTTATTAAAAAATGTTATTGCTTGGTGCAATTTCTTAGCATTCCTTTCTTCGTGAGGGGGAAAACCCCACTGAAACAAAATTATTGTGAAATATTTTCAGTGTACAATTCTTGCAAGGTAATATATTGTTAAAATCAATATTTATTTCTAGATTCTATAATAAAGTTGCTTTCTCCCCATCAAAAATAAAAAATAAACATTTAAATATCTAGAATAAACATCTAAAAACCACCCCTAAAGGAATTATATTTTGGCTTTGGGATTACTTTATGAATCTAACTGGCATGATTCCCAAAATCCTGAGCCTCTTTGGCACAATGCAAATATCTGAACCTTTCCCAAAATGAGTTCACAGCCTCTTTCCCAAGGGTCTTCTTAGGGAGGGGAACTAACTGCTCTATGATTCTTAGACTGAAAGATACCAATTTAAAATTTTATTTCTTTTATTCCCAGGTGATTCATTTTTCTATGGGTTGTTCAAGATTTTATAAGAATTTTACTTCCAAGACACTGGAGGGTAGAGCTTCACATTTCCCCCTCATCTATGTGACCAAAATGTACGGGGGGATATGTGGAACCCAGTACAGAGTGTAGATGCAGTCAGTCATGCTTCCTAGGCTACTGTGGTCTGATCAACGTTTCCATAAATTCTTATATGAATGCAGCTCTGTTGCCAAAGAAATTGCAGAATGCCAACTGAAATGTTACGCATGCATTTTCTCTCTCCGTTCCCAATTTTGACAAATGCATTTTCAGATGACAACTTTGCATAGTTCATCCCTCTCTGTTTTTGTTTCTGGAAACTCCCAATGCATGGGTTATTTTAGCAGAGCTGGGTTGGGGCTAAATTCAGATGTTGCTATTAGTGGTCATCCAGTCAGTTCTGACTCACGGTAACCCCGTGTGTGCAGACTCGAACTGCTTGCTCCATAGACTGACTTCTCAAAAGCCGATTGCCAGGCCTTACTTCTGAGGTATCTCGGGATGGGCTCGAACCACCAGGACGCCCAGTTAGTGGTCCAGTGCTGAATCACTTGCTTTGTACCTCCCAGGCTATTTGCAAGGGATTAGAGAAAAGTCAACAGCCTTTTCTAAAAAGAGCCAGATAGTAAATATTTTCACTTTTGTGGACCTTGTGGTTCTGTGTCGCATTTTCTTTTAAGTTTTCTTTCCTCCTCCTCCTCCTTTTCATTCTTCTTTTGTCCTTTAAAATATAAAAACAAAACAAAAACGTTTTTAGCTCAAAGGCAGTACAATCCAGGCTGCAGGCCCTAGTTGGCTGACACCACCAAGGCAGTGATCCTCAATCTTTCATCTGTATCAAAATCACTGGGGTAGGTTCTATGCAAAAGGCGCAGGCCCAGTCTGTTCCCTTAGAGATTGAGATTTACTAGGTCCATGGCTGGGGGTCTAAGAATCTGCATTTTAAACTCACACCCAAATGGTCTTCATGGCAGAGGTCCTCACACCAGCTCAGACAATCCCAGGGTCAGAGTGAGGGTAACCTGGATCCAGGCACCTTTTGGGGATGGAGGGGTGTGTGTGTCAGATGTCTCATAGCACCCTTTGCTACCACATTCTTTTCCATCTCACCTGGGTGATGGATTCAGTCTCTCAAAAACTCCATATTCTTTAACTGTCTGGGAAAGTTGAAATCGCTGACTTTACCACTAAACTTGAAAGGAAAGGAATTACTGGTTTGATTAGCATTACGATTCTCCAGCTTAGGAAAGCAAATACTTCAAGCATTTTATTTACTCTAAATTTGGGGAGGACCAAGGTCCAGCTTCCTTCCCTGTGACTGCTGAAAATTTGTGGGCAGGGAGAGGCTCTCTAATGGCTGTGATGAGTGTCTCAGAAGTGGAGGCCGTGGGGGTGACAGACCAGGGTTCAGGAGCTCCATCTCTCTACTGCCCACCTCTGCATACCTCCTCAACCCAGTTTGGCTCAGGGACTGAGAGGAAAACAATTACAGTAAACACCAAAGGGTTAAAGTACAAACAATGCTTCATCATTGCAGTTAGTGAAGAACAGCTGCAGTGCGTATAAGTGGAATCCGTAGGTTTGATATAAACCTATGTTGGCTCACAACAAACCTTTTAATAATGCAAGTAGGATGAGTGTTACTATACCATATATAATTGGTGATTCAATTGCATTTCGTATACTTCCTGTAAAAACATGACCAAATACCTCCGTTCCTCACTTATCAAACTGGCTCGCTTCCTTCCAAAGGCCGGTTTGCTGGGTGAAAGTCAGCCTTAGGTGAAAAGGGAGGAAGACCCAAACATCACAAAATGGAGAATGACTACATCATTACACCACCACCGAAGCATGTCACGACAACCCTACCAGCTGACGTCTTCATAGAATTGTCAAACCACTGGCAATCCTGGACCAATCAAATGGACAGTGAGCCTTGATCCTCACCGTCAGCATTATGGAGCCCCTCAGCGTTTGTAATCTCAGAACTATGCCACGAATGTGCAAAATAGATCGACTTTTGAACTCTCGTTGGAAATAAGAAATATCAGCTAACAAGATCGTCGCTAAGTGAGGAATGGGTGTTCAGCTGTCCCTTTCAGTGACTCT